GGATTATCGGATGCTGGCTGTGTCATTTTCCCAGGACTCCAGGCATGCTAGAAGCCAATGCTTTAATCCGCTCTGATATGATGCATGAAAGGGGCTGGACTCCCTTCCCACTTACTGCTCCTCTGCGAAGGTTTCAGACCCGCTGTAGCGGAGTCAGGAAAGCCTGGCTGAAAGCAAAAGCTGCAGGGCTTTTTTCTGAACTGTAGCCTGCTTTTGATTCAGAAATAAACTCCATCTTTGCTCAAGAACTATTTTTAAGGTCACAAACACAGGATGCAGAAATCAGTACGTTTCATGGTTTTCCTGAGTGCTGCCTCACCACTCCTCTTCCTCCTTCTGTTTCCAGCAGACTTCCTTCCCGAAGGGACATCCTGCGTGCCTGCTGCTGGGACGCAGCGCCCAGGGCTGAGGAGCTGTAATGGAAATTCTGGGAAATTGCTTTTTCTGCTCCTTTTAGGCCTGGGATAAAGAACTGAGCTTACACTATGAAAACAGCTGAACTCTTGAGCTCTGATGTGGCTGGAAATCTTTTATCTCTGTCCCACTTTGTTTTTGCAATCACGCTCAAGGGTTAATCTGACTAACCCTCCTCTTAGATGTGGCTCCTTGGTTTGAATTAATTTGCATCACTTGTGAAATTTTACAGAAATACCGAGTACACCCTCCTGGCAAGTGTGCAGGGTGACAGCAATGCTGCTCGGCCAGTGCTGGCTGTGGGTTGTCTCCAGCTCGTGCCCGAGGTGGCTCTTTGTTAGCACAGTCAAATGTTTTGGGTGCAGAGGGACTGGCATCTAGACTTGCCTTTCTGTGAGTTACTGAGTATCCGGAGTGTGTAGCAGAAAACCAGTTGGCCATACAGTAAATGCCCCCGGGGTTGGTTTGAGATGCAGATGATAGAAAGAGATTGGTTTTGGAAGAAAACTTAATGTTTATGCTTTCCCCACTTCAGGGTAGGGCAGTTTGATATAAGATGGAGCGAGATTCAACCCGTTCCGTGTGGAGAAAGTCTTTTAGCCCAACCTTTAAGTGCGATTTCCCGGTGCCTGCAGAAGGATGTGACTTGGCCGTATCCTGTTTATTCTAACGTGACAGAGTTAAGATGTCCCCTCAGTGCCGTGGTGTATAGACAGCAGCAGCATGGTGTGTCACCCCACCCTGGGACCCGGGAGAGGGAAACACCATATGTCTCCTCCTGCCCGTCCGTCGGAAGAGCTGATGTCATCTAAAGAAAGGTGTTTCAGAGGAAGGATGTGTGCGGCCCAACTAAAGCTTGGCCTGCGTTAGAATAGTGACATCCTGTTTACTGTGGAAAACACTTTGCGCTGGTCCTGGCTCTCAAATGCGTGATTTATAAGCAGGCAGGCGCGGCAGATAAGGAACTTCCCGTGATTTTGGCCACCTGTGAGAAGAAAGGGCTGTGTCCCTCGGGTTGGGAGGTGGCGCAGCTGCAGGCAGACAAACACTGGTACCGGCTCCCGTGGAGGCGAGGTGCTGAGCATCCTTCGAGCTCCCAGGCAGCCTGAGGTGCCTCTGTTTCCCAGCAGGAAGGAGTCTTGTGAGCTTCAGGTAATTAATATTGGTAAAGAGTAATGAAGAGGGGCTAGAGATAATCATCCCCAAGACAAATAAACAAACCCAAGTGCATTTCTAAAGGTCCGGCTGTGAATAGAAGGGACCATTAAATCAGAAACATGAATGGCTTGTGGTTCCCCCCTGTATGGTGTAAAAAAGTTGTGTTGCCCAGTTACGGGAGGAGACATACACACATCAGAATTTGGGCTGCTATTCTGTTTTTTAATAGAATGAAATGCTGAAAACTGCAAAATGCATTTAGCAAAGTCACTTGCATCCACAACACTTGATCCTTTCGTCTCGGTCCCATGTGAACCGAGCTGCAGCTCCGAGCGTGTTGCCTCCTGCTTGGCACTCGCTTCAGCAGAGGAAGCTTTTCAAATCAGTCTTTGTTACTCCATGTCTGGAGCGAGCGCCGGCAGCAGCGGACGCAGGGTCTGGTGTCTGCTGGGGCGCAGGGGTCCGAGATCAGGGTGGTTTTGTGGGGAGGACCCAGTCTGCCGTTTGCAGCAGCAGCATGCTTGAGCCCTGGCTGCTCCCTCCGGGCAGGGGTACGAGCTGTTCCACAGAACAAGGGAATTGTCTGCCCAGTGTGCTGTTGCGCAGAGGATGCAGAGGGTCTGACGGGATGAGGCGCTCGGGAAGCCTCCTGTTTGCTGACTGGCAGCAACAAAAGACTGAGAACTGGCTGGCACCTGCGGTTCTCACCCAGCCCGGTGCTGGGGTTTGCTGCTGTCCTCTCCCATGCAGAGAGGGGGGAGGCAGTGCCATGGCCTGCTACCCCTGTGCTGAGTGAGCCTCCCGGACCAGCCCCGGCTGCTGCAGAGAGGTCGCCAGCCCTCGGGTGGTCTGGCAGGGGTTCTTTCCTCCCAGCTGCGAGGGGACACCATCCCTCCCTCCCAGAGACGCAGCCCAGTTGCCTCGCATACATTGTGGGGTTTAGCCAGTTTCTGCCCCATTTTTGCCCAGGGATGTGTTGCTGTAGCGTGGCACCAACCCGAGGCAGGGGGTTGTGGCCGGGAGGGCGGGCAGGCAGACGGCGGGAGGTGCACACAAACTGGGGCCGGAGCGGAGCTGTGGTCCTGCCCGGGTCTCACGCTTTCGCTGCAAAGCCTGAAGATTTGCTTAATCTTCTAAACGGACTGGAGAGAGGGGAGAGCTGAAGATTTAGTCTGGTTCCATTAATGAAATAATGACGATAATAAGGGAATTAAAATACAGGCCCTGGTGCACTCAGCTCAGGAGGAGGGACTATGCTAAACAGGCTGGTTGTCAACTTCTCCTGCCTGCTGGGAGCACGTGGTCCAGTTTCTTAACAGATACAGGCTCAAATCCTTGCATTTGTTCTGCTTAAATTAGCACTCCTGATGATTATTATGGAAGGAATATCCGTGTTATGGCTGAGTTCAATAAGGCATAAAACGTGCTCGGATTTAGGGGTGTGGGTTGCAGTCCACCAGTGATCTCTTGTCTAGAGTTTTGTATAAGCAGTTCCCGCAATCAGGGCCTTAATTTGGTGTGCTTTCAGGCAGCCTGCAAATACCCGCAGTTGTCGACACGTCAGCCCTGCAGCTGCGTGCCCACACCCGGGCAGGGTGACAGCGCGACTGCGGCTTCTCTTAAGATGATGTGGTAATGGCCCTTGAAACATGCCCGTCATTTGAACAGCTTCAGCTGCACCCACAGTGCTTCATAAAAGCTGCTGCAGGAGTGACAGCAGGTAAATTGTCGGTAGCGAGACTGTTGTGATGTTCAGCTGTTGTTGAATCCATCCACATTGTCTGAGCAGAAATTACAAGGAGAGTCTCAGAGGATTCAGGGTGAGAGTGGTCATAAATCTTGGGGGGCATCTCGGCAGGGTAGGAGGAATCAGTCCTGTTTTCAAATGCTGCTGTCATGCAGCAACTGTGCTAATTAATTTAGCACAGGATAGTAAAGTCTGTTGTCTTGCTTTGGGCCAAACGAGCCACATGCCTGCTCACAGACGAGGAGTCCTTAACAGTTGTCCTCTGCCTTCACCCCTTGGCACCTGATAGCGCATAGACACGGGAGCCTTGACACCGGCCCCGTGGCGCCGGTTGCCAGCCCTCGCGTGGGGCAGCTCGTCCACCGGTGCCAGCCCTGGCAGTGCCGCTCACCGCGGCGGTTCCTGCTGGAGCTGGGCGCCTGCTTGAGCTGCAGCGCCTGCCGTCCTGCTGTCCTGAATTTAACTTTTCTGGAGCAAAGGCAGTTCCTGTTCCCCCAGCCCTTCGAGGAACAGCTCGAAAGCAAAGCCAGAGACGAATAATGAATATCTTGTGGTCCTGGGCACAGCGCACGGCTGTGCTTGCTCCCCAGGGCACGGCGAGTGGCTGCGGGCTGAGGCTGGACAGGGCTGGTGGCTCTGGCGTTTCTGGGCAGAATTTTGCAGCCGCTGCTCTTGCCTTCATGTCCTGCAGCACGGTGCTTCCTTCTGCTCAGCAGCTCCTCCATCCCATCCCGTCCCAGTGGAAAACCAGTGGAAATTTTGCTGTTGACTGCAATAGCAGCAAGATCAGAGCCAAGATTTACAGTCCTGAGAGTTGCCAGCAAGCTTTTTTTTCCCCCTCCCTTCGCTCTATTCTCAGTCACTTCCTCACTTACTTGCGGGGAAATAATATTTTGAGTTCTTCTATGGACGAAACTTTTCGCTTCACCTTTTGTTTGAGAAGGAAGGAGCCGGAGATGGCTGCTGGGCTTGCAGCCGCCCCAGCTGCACACGGCTCCGCATGCTCCCATGCCCTGACCCCGAGTGCTGAGCACCTACGGGAAGGGGACCCATCCCAGTGCGGGGACCAGCCCTCTGCGGGCACAGCAGCCACCTCTGTAAGGGCTGGCAGCCACTGGGGAGGGCTTGTCTTCGGTGGCTGAGAAACCTCCCCTGCGGTGCAGCCCCCGCTGGCAAGGGGCTTCCAGCGTCGTGCTGGAGAAGAGACCTCTGACCGCTTCGGTTGGGAGAGGGGGACAAGGAGCGCCCTTGTCCCCTTTAACCATCGCACCAGACTTTTGTGTTGAGGTGCGGGTGCTGCCACAGCAAACAGACCGTGGGCTGGAGGACGCCCTCCTGGGGCGCCCTGCCCCTGGCTGGCTCTGGCAGCGATCCTGGTGCTGCCCTGATCCTGCCTGCAGCATGGACAAGGGCAGAGCTCCTCCAACAGCTCATCTCCAGCAAAGCCTGGTCTGGGTTTGGCTCTGACAGTACATCTGGCGAGCACAGAGGAGGCTCTATGACAGTTCTTTGCTCCTGTATTAACCAGTTACATTTCCCTGTTCTGTGACTCAGTAGTGAGGAGCTTTCGGGGGGCACAGCAGGGCCGTCAGCAGTTTGTCCCCATTGAGCCCGAGGTGGTGACGGCGGGGGGGACCTGCTGGTGTTTGCTGCATCCGTTGACATGCGTGTCTCTCCGCAGCTGCAGCCGGAGCAGCTGGACTGTGGAGCGGCACACCTCCAGCACCCGCTGGCCATCGTGAACCCCATCACAGCCACCCCCGTGTTCACCTACAGTGGCCTGACCGCGGTGGCGGTGGCCAGTGTCAACAACTACACCGTGGTGTTCCTGGGCACTGCCAGCGGAGGACTCCTGAAGGCAAGTGGAGCCTGGCAGCACCAACATGGGGAAGGCAGGGCTGGGGGGACAGGGAGGACGGTGGGGCTGCCCGTTCCAGCACCTCTGGTTTGCACAGAGGACACTGTTGTCGAGTTTGAGCACCTGCTTTTGTCTGGCAGTGAAGAAGTCATTGGATGTATCGCCATAACGTGTACAGTGGTACATGCTGCCTGGTGACTGGTGGCCGTTAATTAGGCTGTTCAAGGCTGCCATGTGAGCAGGATGTTCTTGATCAACCCTATGCTGGAAATGTTATTGTGCAGCATTTAATTATTAACAGCTCTTTTAATAAATTCTCCCTCTGAGCTGATGGCTTTTGAAGGCTTCCTGTAGACAAGGGAATCACCAAGAGATGCTTCATCGCAGCTGCGTCCAAAGCAGGTGTGAATCCATGCATCTGATGGGGTATCTGTTTTAACTAACGTGCCAAAGGCAATGTAGGGCAATGCAATACCTTGGCTCCAGAACCGAGAAGCAAGGCCAAGGTTTCAGTAGCTTTAGCACTTGAAGTTTGCCAAAGAAAGTTTTGATTCCAGCCAGCCACAACAGTTTGATGTGCTCTCAGATCGGAAGTCCATAGAGGAGAGAGGAAAAAAGCCCTGGAGCAGAGACATGGCCAATACTACCTTTGTCTCAGCCTGGGGCGAGCGGTGCATAAAGTGGAATATTGGATCAAAATGCTTGGAGAGGAGAAAACTGATCCAATCTCTTCCCTTGCATCCAAGTGCTCCTGGCAGAAATGTGGGAACGATCACAAAGAAACTCACTGCTTTGATTTTTGCCTGCAGGGGCAGGTAATTCACGAGGGTGGGAGGAACCTGGCACCCCAGCCGGGTGCACCGGGCTCAAGAGGCACATGCCACACGCAGCGCAGCCCCTGTTCACACAGTATTAACAGCTCTGCCTCCATTATCATCTCCAAGAAAGCAGACTTATCTGCTGCGCCTCCATTAGGGAGAGGCTCCTGGCTACCCTTTGCTAGGATAATTTGCTCAGATAGCTCTAATCTAATTCTGCAACACAGCTGCATAACCAGAAGCCCTTTTACCTTCAGGGCTCCTCGTTATTTGGCACGGGATACAAGATACTTTGCGTGAGTTATCATTCAGATTTGCTGCCTGAGAAAAGACAGTGAAGAGGCAGAAATAGTGCTCGACCAGCTCCTGCCAGCAGCAATTATGGCTGCCAGGGGTATGTATGGGGAATTAATCAGATAGGCTGCAGACGGGCATTTCGTGAGGGCCGTTATCAGTGCCGCGTCCAGCGGTCATTAGAGGAAAAGCAGCGCTTGGGCAGCGGTGGCGGGGGCAAGGTGTGCCAGGGTGCAGTGCCCTCGAAGGAGACGGGGGCATGGGAAGGGTCTATTCTGGCAAGTCCCCATGTGTCCAGTTCTGGAGGGCTGTAGACAAGGTGCTGTGGTGGGGTTACCCAGAACTTCAGCCCACTCTGCCCTCGCCAGCACCAGTGCAGCACGTGTCCTCCAGCATGCCCCGACCCTGCTCCAGCGAGAGGACTGGTGGTCTGTGCCGCCCGGCGCTGCTGCGGTGGCTCTGCCCGGGGCCGCGCTCATGGGGATCCAGAGGAAGCGCCAGAGCAGGGAAAGCACAGGGTGGTCGAGCCCCGGGGGCAGAGGGACCTGCGGACAGGCACCTAGAA